TGGTTGGCTTTCTCTACTGACATATCATTGATATATTTATGAAGTTAACAGTAAACATGTACAGTGGTGGCCAAAATTGTGGACACTTTTGGAAATTTTTATGTTTTTGAATTTGTATGCTTATAGAAAATGTTATGTTTTGCAAAATGCAAACTTGATATATCATTTTAAAGAGAATTTATTACTGAATTCAATACAAAACACAAAATTCAATTATTTGCAATACAAAAAAAGGGTACTTTTCCGTTTCGCCGGCGCAAATCTCGCCAAGCAGACTTTATTGGCGACAACATACAGTATACACATAAAAAATATTAAAAAAATATTAGTTCTAAGAATTCTTTTAAAAAAAGAAGGCATAAACATTTTAATATCGCTTAAAATTTTATAAAAAGCCAATAAATAAAGACAATAAATTTGTAAAAAGACATTAATTTAAGAATTTACTATGTTTTCATGGTTCAACATCCTGATTCCCCAGTTCATATCACGTTACCCCAAGCGATCTCATCTCACGTAAACTACTCTACAAAAATCTAATGCTCTCAGTAATTATCTACATTCATTTCAAGTTAAATCTTAATTTGGAACACAAGTTTAAATGCAAGAAATATTTCAATTCGTACGAATAGCTTACTCAGAAATTATGTAAAACTGCAGTGCTTTACTTCGCTAATGCATTCTCATTAGAATGGATGAATTTAACCCTTGACTTTACCTTTTCTATATTTTCGGCTTCGGATAAGCGCTGTGATTGCATCCCAATTGACTTAATTACCGAAAATGGCCTTAGACATAAACTGACTATCTGATAAAAATTCTATGTATTCTATATGCCAGTATTGTAAGAAACAACCAGTCTGATAAGAAAAAGCTGCGACTTGTTTTGAAAATGATGCGTAAAAGGTTAAAAGAGAGAATATTCCGTTTGGCATCGGTTGTACCATTATTGGCAACTTTATCGCTTGCGCCGGCAAAACGGAAACGTACCAAAAAAAGTTATATGTACTTTATTATAAATAAAAAAACATAGTTATGAAGTGGTTTGTAATGTCTAGCTTTCCTGGCCAATCACTGCTCCTGTTCTGAGAGCCAATCAAATGTTAGAAACTGCCAGTAGAAGCTGACATTATGTTTACACTTGAAACAATTCATTATTTTGCTTTGCTCTGTAGAAGGAGGAGCTGTTCTTATACACGGCAATTACAAGTAGGAATTTTTGTAAAAATTTTTAAGTCAAGAAGCAATGACATCAAATAAAAAGAGTAGATTGGACACCTAGAAAGAGATGTAATATTATTGTGTTACGAGAAAGTGGTCTTTCCTATGCTGAAATTGCAAGACAGGTGGGTGGTTCAGTGACTACATCTGGAGTCCGAAAAGTTTTGTTTACGATATCAGGAGACAAATTCAATAAAAAACAAAGAAGGAAAAGGCCGAAGGCCGAAAAAGGTGCACACCACATCTATTGATGACAGAAGAATAAAAAGACTATGTCTCCAAGATAGAAAAATGTCATCAGCGGCCATCAGAAGTAATCTGAATGATGCTGGTATTTCTGTCAGTTCAAGAACAATCAGGAGAAGATTAACAGATGTTGGACTGAGAGGTAGAATTCCACGAAAAAAGCCTTATCTTAATTTTCAGCAACGAAAAAAAGTACAGTGGGCAAAGAAACACATTAATGGGCAGAGATCAGTGGTCACAATTTATGGAGTGATGAAACTAAGATATCATATTCGGTAGTGATGGGCGAAAATATGTATGACGTAGAATAGGGAGAAGAGCTACACCTGACTGCATTCAAGCAACTGTGAAGAACCAGTTAGTGTTATGATTGATCATGCATGTCAGCAGATGGTATTGGTCGCCTTCATGTCATCGATGGGACACTGAATGCCAGAAAATGCATTGACACTATTCTAGAACCAAAACTTCTACCTTCCATCAGAGATCTCTTTCCCAACAATGCTTCGTTTATTTTTCAGCAGGATTCTGCTCAGCCAAAATATCAAAAGAATGGTTTCGTACAAAGAGCATTAAATTGTTGTCATGGCCAGGAAACAGTCCTGACCTCAATCCCATCGAAACTTTGTGGCATCGTTTGAAAACTCTTGTCCGAATGAGGCACCCATCAAATAAAAGGGAACTAATTGAGGCTATAATTGTTTCCTGGCATCATGTAATAACGAAAGAAGAGCTTAAAACTCTTGTCAGTTCAATGAAACGTCGATGTGAAGCTGTAATCAAAAATAAAGGGTACCCTACTAAGTACTGATACCTCACTGCAATCATCACTATCTAATTTTTGTATTGCAAATAATTGAATTTTGTGCTTTGTATTGAATTTAATAAATCCTCTTTAAAATGATATATACAAGTTTGCATTTTGTGAAACGTAACGTTTTCTGTAAGCATACAAAGTTCAAAAACATAAAAATTTCCAAAAGTGTCCACAATTTTGGCCACCACTGTATTGCATTTTGTGAACCAAACTTGCATTAAGTTAATCCCAGCACATCAATTCACTGGAATACAAAGGGATTCAAATATAAACAAGGCTATTGCTGTTACAAACCACTGCTCATGCACAGTACTGTATTTCCTTGGTTGAGAACAACCACTAACCCCAACTTCCCTTGCAGATTAGAACTTGCTTTGTCATATCTTGTAGTCACAAGAGTGATGAGCTAACAACACTACCTATGAAACAATGCACTGTGATCAAATTTCTTACTCACAACAATGCCTAGTCATTTGAAATTCGGCAGAAACTCAAAGCATAGTATGCAGAACAGTGTGTCTCTAAGACCCATGTGTTTGTATGGTAAAAGTGCTTCAATGAGGGATGACATCATCCCAACAAACAGTGACCATGTAAATGTAGTTAATCGAGAAAATGGGTGCATCATTATCAAAGAATTGCATCAGGACTTTAAGCCAGTGCTAATAAAGTAGGAACCATAGTGAAAAAACTTTTCCTCTATGACAATGTGTATGCCTGGTGGATTGCATACAGGCTGACACACCAGAACAAAGTGATGCAGATGTAAACCACCGTTTCTCTTCTGCTGCAGATTGAAGTTGAAGGGGAGGTATTTTGAAAGTCTGTAGTGAACATGAATGAGACTTGAGCCCACTAGTTCAATTCTAAGGCCCAAGCTGAAATCCCACTTGGAAGGCATGCAGTCATGCATGACACCATCACTATCAGCATTCAAGACTGGATTTAGAGCCAACTGAAAAACTTCTACGAAAACAGCATGAAAATGCTTCCAGAACATTCACAAAACCATATCAACTTTGGAGTGAGCATGTTATAGGATGACATTTCCAATTCTTTCATTCGCAATAAAGGTTTTAGTAACCAAAAATGAGCTACTGTCGTATCTGAAACGTGTGAAAATTACATGAGACGGAGATATGACAATTCCTTATTATCTCATCCTAGCATTAGGACTTAACAAAATTGTAGGTATTGATGAAAGTTAATTCACATAAAAGACAAAACGGTACTATTCGGTTTCGAGGGCCGTAAAAAATCGCCAAACCATTGTTGATGCCAATGCTGCCAAAAATAATTGCGGCAACCCTAATAATTGCGGTAAGAAAGGAAGTATAATAGTAAACAACTATCTAAGATTGATGTTTAAATTTAGATGAAAGGTTAATTTCATGTACTACTTTTTTATTATTATAATTTATATGAAAAAGGCTAAACACGAGTGAATGGAAGCAAAAGAGTAAATAACTATTTCAGATCATTATTATAATTTATATAAAAATTGCTAAACATAACTGAATGGATGCCTGCATCGCTATTTCGCTACCGACTTATCGCTAAAGCATAATTTCATCTCGTTGGTTGTTCAAACGTAATTTTCTATAATGAATGATGCCTTTTCTTTGAAAATATTATCGGTAAAGTGCAGAATCGCTCACTTATTGTTTGCCGCTTTTTACAAGGGTAAAAACAATTTGATTTTTCTCAATTTTCTTTTACTTTTTAAGTGAAAATAGGTCGATGTGTATGTAAATAAAGTCAAGGGTGTGCCATTTTTGTGCAATTTTAGGATTTTTTTTTTTTTTTTAAGTGAAAATAGGTCGATGGGGATATGTAAGATAAAAAATATGAAAGCAAACTTCTAAACTTAATTCACTATAACTTCCATTATTTTCTATTTCATTTGAGAACTTCCTCTATCTGTCCTAAAAATAGCGCTTAAGTCTAAACTGCGTCATTCAAATTACATGCGATCTTACTTAAACCATAATGCAGATCCCTCTCGACCAATCACCGAATTGTAAACCAAAACTTTTCTCTTCGCATGCTTCCATCTTTCATAACTACGCACTTCAGCTTTTGCTCGCTACTCTGCTAAGATGTGATTTCGCTGGCTTGCTTTCTATCCCAACAATACCGAGTATGCGCAATTCTTAAAAACGCGTCAAGCAGTGGGCGATTCTGCACTTTATCCAAAATTTTATTGCCGACTTTTTGTCACGGGCAATTTCTCAAATTGTTAAATCCATACAAAAAAAGGATTTAAAAATTAAATTAGTATTTCAATGGCTTCTAAGAAATACAGAACTATCTAAACTTACGCAATCTAAAATCAGCGCGTACGCTACATTTGGCGCGCTGTTGAATGGGCCCGTTTGCTAGATTTGGCGCTTTTGCGCATACACTTTCGCTGCATTTTTTTTTTATGGCCCTCAAAACGGAATAGTACCGACAAAACTAATGTTAGCTGCATCCCCCCCTCCCAAATAAGTTTTTGAAGATTTGTGAAGTTAGAGAATGTGTTGAAAATGTGTGGTATGGCTTTAAGAAAAGTACACATGAAATTAAAAAATTTAAAATAAAACTTGCAATATGTTATAAGCACTAATAAAAGTAACATAACAGTTAAAAATATAAGTTCATAATTTCAAAAAATTCACATCACTCTGATTAATTTATTTCTACAACTTATTTCGCAAAAATTAGGTTTACTTACTTCGAAACAGCAAGATAACTTAAGCCGAGAGACATAAGGGAAATTCCAACATGAAATACAATGAGGGTAGTTCCATATTCTTTAACGGCTTGTTTAAGTCTTTCTCTTTGACTTAAGTCCTTTTTAGGAACAGCCTGAACAAACTCTGTTTGTTCTGAAGTATTCTTATGAAAACCTATAAAACAACAAAATAATAACAATTTGAAATAATAAATTAATACTAATACAGCTGCAATTTAACGCGAATATATTAAAATTAATGTAAAAACAAGTTTATTTTAATTAAAACACAGATCATTCAAACTCCACATGATTTTTAAATGACTCTTTCTTTCAATTAAGAGCCACTTACCATAGTCTTAATTACAAACAATGCATCTGCATGATCAGTGAAGTGAAATCTCGAAACCTCTTTGGAAAAATTCAAGAAAGCAGTATTTCTTTACAGTCACATTCAATTTAACTGCATCAGTAGATTATTGCCACTAAACCATGGAAAGGAAACACTTTTAAACAAAGGAAAAAAAAGTTCTTTAAGTTCTTTTATAGCACATCATGTGGAATGAGCCTTATAAAGCTTATATGATGATCTTTATGCAGTTTCGCTATTGCCTGCCAGAATACAGTGTGTGTGGGGGGGGGTAGTGGGCACCCCTCTGGTAAAAATTCTTAAGAAGAATTACTATTTAAAATAGCATTTTATGCATTTCATTTAACACTTTTTAAATTTAAATGCAGAATCAATTTAACCGTTTGAGTCCGGCGCGCGCTTCACTTGTTGCATGCCAAAAATACGGTGCAGCGCGATAACGCTTTTCTTGTTTTGTATCAAGAATGCGAAGACGCAGCTGTTGGTTAGTATACTTGAAAAAAAAAAAATTATTGAAATATTCAATTGATTTTGCAACAGGAGGAAAGGCATGCTTTGGTACAGGTATTTCAGAAAAAGTTTTCGATTCGTTCGAAAAAATTGTATCCACGGGTAAACACTCATCAATAATATTGTCATCGGAGGTACTTGCAGTTACTTCATCCTCATCACTGCTATCACTAATAACTCATAATTTATTAAAACAAATAATGATGTCACTTCCACTATCACTTTCAAGGTCATTACTATACTCTTCATTATCACTTCTCATAACATAGTCACTTTCAAATGAATCAGAACTTGACATGGGTTATTTCGTAATTATCAGTATAACACTTGGTAAAAAAATGAAAACAATTTCCAATTCCTATAAAACAACTGCTACTGATATCACTACAACTGCTCTTAATAATTGTGTAAAATATACTAACCAACAGCAGTGTCTTCGCATTCTCAATACAAAACAAGAGAAGCGATATCGTGCTGCGCCGTATTTTTGGCATACGACAAGTGAAGCGCGACAGTGCTTCGCCGGACTCAAACAGTTAAATAATTAATTTCCATTTATTCAAAATGATTTGTTTTTAATTTAAATAACAGAAACATTTTAAACGAAATATATAATGTGCATGTACATTTCAGGAATATGAAGCAAAAAAGGGCATAGAAGATTAATGAAACATTTTTATACAATTATAGCTTCTCAGACATTTTTATTACAAAATGCCTAGTGCCTGCTCTGTGTATGATTCATTAAGACATATTAGATGTATCTTTTAAATTGCAAGTTTTCAGTTTCTTCATTAATAAAAATAATTCCTTTCTATAATGCCTGTCCATGTGATAAGTTAGAAGCATTTTTAATCTTTTCCATGCTTGAGTCTAGTGAAAAGTAGAGAAAGTAAGGGGAAGATAAACATGTTAAGATAAAGATTCTAGTATCAGAAGTAAAACATTCAAATATCGTGTTTTCATTGTTCTTCAAGACGTTCTCCAAAAAGTAAGAAATTCATTGCAGACTTTCTATAAAATGCCTCCATTATGAGTTAATACCATGAGGACATTTTTCGTTTTGACACATATTTCTGGAATCTTCTAGAATCGTGGGTCTATAAATCTTGCCTTCAAATCCTTCTAAATTTTCCATTCTGCAATGGCTAAAATCCTAAAGAAAAATTATACCTACCAATTCTGTAACAGCAAAAAGCCCAAAATATTTTGAAAAAGAAAGGGGGGAAGTGGAAAAAAATGAAAAATTATAGAGAAAACTGATGCATATTCTGAGACAATTACATGGAAAAAACTCTTACTATGAAAAAATTAAAAAGAAGACATTTTTAATTAATTACATAGCTATTTTGCTCTTGCTAAGAACTATTTCATAAATTGTGCTTTATAGCATTACACCTTGTTTACTTTTCAAATTCAAAATATTGTATTATAAGTGATCAATATGGAACTTTATATTATGACAGCAAAAAATTTAAATGTTTTATTTTAATGTTATTTTTTAAATATAATTTCAATATATCTATTACCATTATTTTAATTAAATTTATCAATGTTACAATGTTTTAAAAAAAATGTCGAAAAATTCCCAAAACTTGGAATTAAAAATTTTCTAGAAAATCTGATCTTAAAATCGCCAAATTTAGAACAGCTTAATAAAAGAATTCACATCCCTAAAAGCAAAAAGTTGTTTAAGAGCTCTTCATTAGAAAAAAGTGAAATAATTTCAAAATGCTTATGTTTCACTGGGTAGAGTAGTCTTTAAGGTACCCCTTGTATTATGGCGAAGTTGTTGTTTGATTTATCGCCAAGTTGTTGTTTCATTTATGGTAGCCTGAGTAGTTGAATGTTATAGAAACCCTATTGTGACGTAATCTGGTGCCTGATTCTTGGAAATTTTGAATCATGGGATGTTTTGTAAGCATTTTTGTGGTGTGTGTTGGTTTGATTCTTTGGAAGGTAGAATGGCCGAATGTAGTAAGATTAATTTGAAGTTTCTGTATGATTTGGAGTGAAAGGAGAAAAGAGCTTTAATTGACTGGTGTATAAATAAAGGTTTACTTAGTAGCCATTATAAGTGTCCTGTATGTAGGAAGGATATGCGTCTAGTCGAACGTAAAAACCGTTTAGATGGATTTGAATGCGTTTGTAGCAGGAAAGGTTCAGATGGTCACTATGCGAAGCGTTCGACCAAAAAGAGTAGCTGGTTTGAAAAAAGTCATTTGAGTATGATTGCTACGAGGGCCATCCAGGAAGTAGATTACGTTTCCGTCTGTGTCCGCTAGGAGCGGGGCTAGCGCGGCCATCTTGGGGTCAGAGCGTTGCGCAGCTCAGTCTGCATCTAGCCGTGCTAGTGAGAGGTTCGTGCTGTGCTCCGTTCAGATACTGTGACGGTTTGAAATGTCTGCGTTAATTGAAAATCCCGCGAGCTGCGAGGTGCGCTCAGTAATAAGGTTTCTGACTGCAAAAAACTGTAAACCGATAGAAATCTATCGGCAGCTTCGTGAAGTGTATGGGGACAACACATTATCACTGAAGGTGGAGTGCGTCAGTGGGTCATAAGATTTCAAAATGGCCGAACCAATGTTCACGACGAAGATCGAAGTGGAGGAGACCCAGCATAGTGACCGCCGAACTTCTCGAAAAAGTTGATGCTAAAGTCCGTGAAAATCGAAAATTTCACAATAACGGAACTTTCTTTGAGTTTTTCCACAAATTTCGCGAAGTTTGTTGCACGAAATCATCAGCGAAAAGCTTGGTTACCACAAGTTTTGTGCAAGATGGATTCCAAAAATCTTGACAGAGGACCACAAAAATCAGCGAATGGCTGCAGCGTTGAACTTTTTGGACGCTTACCATAAGGATGGTGACTCTTTACTCGATTGCATCGTTACTGGTGACGAAACATGGTGGTGAATGAAAACATGTGAACTGTGAAACGAAATTGCAATCAATGCAGTGGGGGCACACAAGTTCTCCCCAAAAACCCAAGAAATGCATGCAAACAATGTCGGCAAGGAAGATGATGGCGACTGTTTTTTGGGACAGAAAAGGTGTAATTTTGGTGGACTTCCTGGAAAGAGGCACTACAATAAACTCTCAAAGGTATTGCCAAACTCTCCAAAAACTCAGAAGAGCAATTCAAAACAAGCGCAGAGGAATGTTGAGCTCTAAGATCTTGTTGATTCATGACAACGCCCGGCCCCACACGGCAAATGTCACTCGTAAAGTTCTTGAATCTTTTAAGTGGGAGTTGTTTCCTCATCCGCCGTACAGTCCCGACCTGGCACCGAGCGACTTCCACCTATTCCCAGCAATGAAGAAGTGGCTGGCTATGCAGCGTTTTGATGACGACGCACAGCTGCAAGAAGAGGTAACGAAGTGGTTGAAGGCGCAGGCGGCCGAATTTTTCGACGAAGGAATTTCCAAGCTCGTACATCGCTACGATAAATGCCTTAATTTGTATGGTGACTATGTAGAAAAGTAGTATTTGAGTGTGGCTTTCATCTGTATATAATAAAATTTGTTTCCTATACTTTGTTTATTTTTTTATTCCAAAACGTAATCTACTTTCTGGATAGCCCTCGTATTTTGATTTTTACGTGGCTCTGGGTGTACGACGCGAAATCGAAAATCATGGTAAGTGAATATTTGCTTTTGGTAGTGCTTAAATGTATAACATGTTTTCCTTTTTATGTTATTTTATTATTTGGTTTAAAATTTATTTTATTGAGATTATATATTTTTTTGTTTGCCTATATTGTAGAATTTGGTGCTGCTTTAACTTTTTACGTGAAAATATATTGATGTGTACATGAACAAAGTCAAGGGAGTGCGCAATGCAAGTTTGTACAATTCTGGAATTTTTTTTTAAGTGAAAATAGGTCGACGTGTACACGGATAAAGTTAAAAGAGTGCGCAATGCCATTTTTGTGCAGTTCTGGGATTTTTTTAAAGTGAAAATAGGCCGACGTGTACATGGATAAAGTCAAAGGAGTGCGCAATGCCCTTTTTGTGCAATTCGAGTTTTTTTTTTTAAATGAAAATAAGTCGATGTGTACATGGATACCGAGTTTGTGCAATTGTTTGTCTTGTTATTTTGGTTTTGTCTAGCGGTGATTTTTGGCGCAAAAATTGCTGCTTCGCAAGCCAAAATAACGAGTCAAAGAATTGCACAAAATCGATATCCATGTACCACCAAAAATTGCCAAGGGGTACCCTAAACTATACTTTTATATGTTTCACTTCTTGCTCAGAAACTTTAGTACCCCCCTTTTATATTTGAAATAGGAACA